TGTCCCAGACGACACAGACTATATATTTCAAATATGCATTTATGTGACAGTGCATTTATGTGACATTAAAGTGACTTAATTGTTACAACTTGAACTGTAAATGACAATTCGCTACTTTATTGCTGAGATTGACAAAATAACTTTGTGGCATGTGCACAGGGCCGTAGCTAGAGGATTCGGGGCCCCCTGAAAAAATATTGATGTGGGCCCCCACCACCCTCCACCAATATTATATACTGTGCAATAGATGAACATGGAGGCCCACATAACAGAAGATGGTGATGTAGTTGTAAAACCTTTATTTTAAAAGTTAAATGTTTATATAAAAATTACAACTAATAAAAACTAACAAAAAAGCAAGAAATTGTTAAATAATAATAAAACCAATTTTTAAAAAGTAATACTTTTTTCCCCCCATCAGTCTGTTATAATTCATAAATCAAAAAGTAAACATTTAGAAATTGACAAGAATGCAGTCTAATTAAAAAAATAAAACCATTAATTGTCTTATTTTTTAATAAAGATAATATGGAACTGGTAATATTATTAAATAAAGCGAATACATTTATTCATCCAAGTGCAGTGTGTTGTATTCGTGTTTTCTCTATGTTTTAAATATCATCAGCCGGCAGGTCAGATGCATAATGCAATGCGTCGTGACTCGTGTAATTTTTTTAAAACTCTAGTTACAATAGTGTAAAAAGACAGGAATTAGACCACGTAATCATTCGGTCGACTGTGGCGCGCACCGATAATAAAAAATGACTGTACACAGCAGACTGTAGATGGAAGTTTTCTAATTCCCAGCGAAATAACAATATATAACCGGTCTTTAAGAACGTCTTGATCGACTGGGATACAACCACTCTCCTTGCCTCCCTCTCCGTCTTTTCCTGGCATTTCTGGTTCCCTGATTTATGTTTTCTTTTCCCCGACATTTTTCAGTCAGTCAGTCTCCTGCTCTTCCACCAAGTTCATCGTTAACTTCAGGCTGCCGCCTCAACTCTGATTGGTTCTGTTCACGAGCTGGGGCGGGACTTACAATTTTATTGGGTCCATCTGATGTTTGTCACTGACTCTGACTGAATAATTAATAAATACTTTAGGTCGGACTAAACCATTTTTATGGAGGTAAGAGAAGCAGATATTTGGAAAAATATTTACCCAAATTGCACGTTTTTGTGGTTTTCATTTAAATCTCAGGCATACAACTAATATAAATATTAGAATTATTCATACTACAGGGGCCTAAATAGTATAACTGCTGGATTTTGTGGGGCCCCCTGGGCAGCGGGGGCCCCTATAATTGTCACCACCTTTCACCCCACTAGCGACGGCCCTGCATGTGCAACCTAAATATCCAGCCGGAACAAAGCCAAGTTCTGGACACTGATTGAATAAACTGCAGTTTGGAGTTTTGGGCAAAAATCAGAGACACTTATGAATTTTTATTTTTAGGTGAACTATCCCTTTAACATCTATGATACATTAATCTCATTGTTCTCAGTTTATCTAGAAACTGCTTAATATATTGTGGGATGTTTGTTCTGTGGTGTTTGGGACAGTGCAGAACAGTGTGATCCACAGGAGTCATTGAGGCCAGAAACCATGCCAAGGACAAGGGAGGAAATTTCACCATGTGAAATGATTGACCAGTCAGTATATTATGCAAGAGCACTGTTGATGTTATCCGGGAAGTTCATGCAGGTTGTTATTCTCACGATCAGGTTTGTTTTGTAGGTATAAGCACATTTGTTATATGTCGTGTGCTGCTGAAGTCTGCAGAGGCGTGTTGTTGAAGTTGTCTTTGGGAGCTGATCTGAGGCCAGATCTGTGGTTTGTCTTTTGATGGTTAAAATCAGAATTGGTCTGAGACAAAGCTGGTCCAAGATCAACATATAAAGACACTGTCTAAAGACGAACAGGAAGAGTTGTTACATGCATGATGGGAAATGATACGTTTCCCAACTCTAGATCAAAAGTACAAAGCTTAACCACAAGTAGTAAACAGCCTCTGAGTTTCACATGTGACAGAGCTGCTGAATTGACATTTAAATGCAGTAAGGTCAATGTAAAAACACACAAAAACATAACCGAGAGAAAGAGAGAAAAGAAAAAAAGAAACGGCCTCACAAAATCCTCTGCAGCAATCAAGCCCTGGTTATCAGAGTCAGGCCTTGATGAGAGTGCAGGTCATTTCTAATTTATGGCTTCCACAGAAAGGAGACAAACTGAACTGTATTATGTGACCTTCAGTCCTTTGAGGTGTGTTTGCCAATCATACTCTCAGATCACGATGACACGTTGTTAGGAAGCGTGCAGTCAAGTGGTGATTATGATAGACACTGTTAGAGCTGACAGATTAGTGTCCTTCTTTGCTTGTTTAGTGAGGGAAAGGAATCACATGCACAACCTACATGAGTCATGACTGGAAAGTATCAGTTTCAACCTATAATGACTCTGTAAAACATATCAAGTTGCTTAGGTAAAGCTGACAGGGCTTTGAGGGAGTTTAAATCTATCTATCTATCTATCTATCTATCTATCTATCTATCTATCTATCTATCTATCTATCTATCTATCTATCTATCTATCTATCTATCTATCTGTCTATCTGTCTATCTGTCTGTCTGTCTGTCTGTCTGTCTGTCTGTCTGTCTGTCTGTCTGTATGTCTGTCTTTTTGTCTGTCTATCTGTCTGTCTTTATGTCTGTCATATGTCTGTCTGTCTATCTGTCTGTCTTTATGTCTGTCATATGTCTGTCTGTCTGTATGTCTGTCTCTCTGTCTGTCTCTCTGTCTGTCTGTCTTTATGTCTGTCATATGTCTGTCTGTTTGTATGTCTGTCTCTCTGTCTGTCTGTCTGTCTGTATGTCTGTCTCTCTGTCTGTCTGTCTTTATGTCTGTCATATGTCTGTCTGTTTGTATGTCTGTCTCTCTGTCTGTCTGTCTGTATGTCTGTCTCTCTGTCTGTCTGTCTATCTGTCTGTCTTTATGTCAGTCATATGTCTGTCTGTTTGTATGTCTGTCTGTATGTCTGTCTGTCTGTATGTCTGTCTGTCTGTATGTCTGTCTCTCTGTCTGTCTGTCTGTCTGTCTGTCATATGTCTGTCTGTCTGTCTGTCTGTCATATGTCTGTCTGTCTGTCTGTCTGTCATATGTCTGTCTGTATGTCTGTCTGTCTGTCTGTCCTAACCACTTTTTCTCTTGTGTTCCACAGAGGAAAATAAATGTTTAAATTTATCCTATATTGACAAAGGCAGAAAGAGCCTAATTAAGTCAAGTTCTGTATTTATAAACAATAAAAAAGATTATATTAAATTTCCCATGTGCCATACAAGGAAACAGTCTAATCAGCCCACACGGCTATATGGGCCTTGTGTTCTAGGACAGCATGGCCTTCATTGGGCAGTTCCACCTGTTCGTACGGTCAGACTGTCCTCACAAACTGTTTGTAAGTCCAATGGGATTACATCTCAAAAGCCAGAGAGGACAAGTGTAACAATCATCAGTGGCCTAATGATGCAGAGCCCCAGGGGAATACAATATTTCTTGATAGTATAGGAGAATGGCTGAGTCATCTCACTCGCGTGGTGAAATCGAGAATGTGATTCAACACTCCTGAAACGTTTTATTGATTGTTGAGAGAAGAACACAGATATTCAATGTGTGGGACATTGAGTTTCATTTAAATGTTCTCACTGGCATCAAAAAATGCATTTTGCTGAGTGGTAAAAGTCAAATTGTATGGTGAGGTGTACTTATATCCTGTGGTGTGTTCTTGGAGAAACATTGCTCAAGAATGTTAGGTCTATCTTACACTTATTATTGAATCACAGACATGTTAATAAATGCATTCTAATATGCAATGAACATTTAGGTGTAGAAAATCATTTACAGAATATTATATAAAGAGCAAAAATAATTCTGTAAAATATATAAAAATTAATATAAAATAATAACACATAATAGAATTAATTACAATTATGAATAAATATTTGTATATAATTAATCTTTTTAGGGGTCATTTTCTTCCATTTGAGACGTGAGGCAGCCATCTTGTGAAATTTGAACTGCCGTCTTGTCGGTATGCTGTGATTTGCTTCAGAAACACTACATGAAATGCAAGAACAGCCAGTTCTTGTGGTGGTGAAAGAATATGTAAAGTAATACAACCAGATGGCTCTCTGAATGCCATATAGCCTTGCTCTCAATGAACACTTAGAACTTTCCAGAGAAGTACTGTGAATAGGACTGAAAGAGAGTACATTGCTTTCCCACAGGAGAACAGTGCATCGTTAGAGCTGAAGTGTTGGTGTTCAGCCCTTTATTTTCTCCTCTCCTGCTTTCATATAAAATAAAAGATTAAGTAACTTTTGAAACACTGATCTCCATCTCCATCACCCCCACAGTCTGCTTGTGTAATGCAGGAATATGAATATATTTTCCAGTCTGGGATTCAGTGTCTATGCGCTATTTATTTAGAAAAGTTGTGTCACTTGGCCCTTGGAGTGTCTGACTTGAACGGGAGCCGACTGTATAATTATTTTACAGTATTCCATACTGTTTCCATTCTTGGGGTGGGCTTAAGTGTGACGGTGAGCTATAGCAGCACTGTTCTGCCATTCAGTAGATCATTTGATATAGTGTTGACCCTAATCCTGCTTTTTTTACATTGCTAATCTTGATCAGAATGCTTTGAGAGGGTGAGGGGAAATCTTTATTGCTTTGCTTCATTCACACATGTGCTGTAGACCATTTTTCACTATATATGATAACCACCAATTTAAATTAGGCTATGGATAGAAATGTAATGCTTTAAAATAATCTCCTTCCTGAGTGGAGTTCCTTTTTATACTTTGTAAAAGTTTGGTGGGGGCAAGTAAGGTAGCGAACTCCGGGACACGTCGCCATCCAATGAGTGCGCGTGGCTCGGATGACGTTGCCAAGCGCTACCGGCCGACACGCCCCCAGCATGGATACAATCAGCACTAATCGGCGCACAGCATACTGTCACTTTATCGTCGTGAGGACTACAGCCACGATGGGAGTTTTGATACTCAATCAAGACAAGTTTTCAGAGCTCTCATCACCGGAAACTTCTCTCTAAAGGAAGAAAGCAGTCGGTGTCGCGTGCTCACGGCTTGATCTCGCATGATTTACATGCAGGATGTCAGTGTTGCTGAAAAGCCGGTAAGATAGTGCAAAGTGAGTTTGCTTATGAGAGCTGCCTATTCAGCACCACACAAAGGGGATCTACTGAGTTCAGTGGTCTGCTGTCATTGGGTTTGAATGTCATAAAGAATTTCTACTCTTAAAACGAAATGGATCACTTCGCAGCAGAGTGCCTTGTGTCAATGTCCAGCCAAGCAATTGTCCACGGTCCAAAAGGGAATAGAGAGATCAAGCCCGAAACTGCGTCTGCACAGAGGAATGGAGAAGAAACCAGGGAGCCTTTGAAAGACAACTCATCTCTTTTTGTGGTGGCGAGAATTCTGGCGGATTTTAATCAACAGACCCCCACCAATTTTGCCGAGCAGGCAAAAGTAAAAGAGGAGAGCACGCCACCAACAGCAACCCCGACCAGAGATGATGGGAACTCTGCCACACCTACCACCATCACCGGCGACCCTGCTCTTAAACAAAGAAACAAACGATTTAGGGGGCGAATTGAACAAGAACCCCCACAGAAAAAGCACAAATGCCACTATTCAGGTTGTGAAAAAGTTTATGGCAAATCGTCCCATCTCAAAGCCCACCTAAGGACACATACAGGTCAGTTTCCATTCCTGCCAAGTGTATTGCCGTTTCGCAGATCCAATGTAAACATCGCGACACATTCGGGCACATTATGTTCCGCACAAGCTCAGTTTTACTTGACGGGACAACTGTTGTCGCACTGAATACGATGGTATATTTGATAAAACGTGCATTTACTCTAACTTGTCGTTCGAAGGGAATAGTATATTATTCGATGTAGCCTCGTAAATATTGTCACGCCCACCATGAGGAAGCTATATGGTAAACAGCAACAGTTCTTCTCCCCCAGAGCCTCGCCTATATATGAGCCACCTCAACACACACATACAAGCCCACCGGTTTGGAGTTTCAAAAAGCACTTTATTGGTATGATTTTTTCTGCGAACAATTCCTAAAGCAGTAATACACACAATAGGAACGGTGACAGCAAAGAAAACAATAAAATAAATAATAGTAACAACAATACTATAGAAGAAACATTCAACACGACATAGCATAACAAACCATTGACAACATATGTGCTCGTGCATACAGACTTGTTGTAGCACAGTCTATATTCAATACCTTGGCATAACAAAAATCTGCACGCAATTAAATCTAACACTGCAGCAAAGAAGCCAGGAACCCCATGATGTAATCACTCATAAAAGTCTTGGTAGTCTATAGTTTCAGGAGTCGATGGTGGTGGTGGTTTGCGAAAAGTGCACTGGTAGTAGCTCGCGGTGCCAGACAGACAATAACGGTCCAAAAAGAGCAGATTCGCGTTTTTTCTTTGCGTTAGTCCGTTAGTTATATTCAAGGGGGTTGAAAATGAAAACTGAATAAAAGATGGGGGTTGGTGAGACTTCTGCGGTTGCTTGTTTGACTGTTAAGCTCTTTGTTGTGATGTGCCACACCCCCGTCAGACAGACTGCCAGCTGATCTGGCCAGCAACAGACTCGACCAGCCGAGCGCGGAGCCGCGCAGACAGAGTGCCCGCCCTCGGCGGAGTCGGCGCACACCTCAAGCCTTTATAATTGACCGTTAGAATGGAAAATATATTTAGGAGAGTAATTACACGTTCTGTACCACGTTTTCACGCGTCGTGGCGTGCAAATCCGCCGCTATCATTTTATGTGTTGCTGTCTTCGTCAGACAATAGATAGACTTCATGACAGGAAACGCTGAGCTGAATCGAAACGTTCTTGACACCTAAAAGGCATTATGGCCTCAGATCAGAGAAAAATCGCATAAGTGTGTAAATTGTGTCTGGGTTTCCAGAAACACAACCTAGTTACTTAAAATGATGAATGTTCAGACACAGCTAAGTGTTTCTGTCAATCATCTGGTGTCAATTGTGTGATGGTTCAATTTTGATACACTCAGGCCTGGTTTCACAGACAGGGTTTAGATTAAGCCAGGATTAGACTTTAGTTCAATTAGGACATTTAAGTAGCTTATAAACGTGCCATAGGAAAAAAAACATGACTGATTTGCATTCTTGAGACAAAACAATGGCAGTGACATATTTTGGGAGATGTCTTAACTGAAAGCAACTAGCACTGACAACTCAAACATGCATTTTAAGTCTGAGACTAGTTTAAGCCTGGTCTGTGAAACCAGTCTTTATCATCATCTTTGCCTGATTTACCAGATGTAGAAGTTTAAGAATGTGTAATTGGAAAAACTCATGTTGGTTGATCACTTATCTGAATATTGGGGGAGGAGACATGTACACATTGTTGAAAAAAAAAAAAGTTGCTGCCTCAAATTTAAGTACAATTTTTTTAAAAAAATTTACAGTGTACTTATTTTCAAACTAGTTGTTTTGGGCAATCCACTGACTGAAAACATGCAGTTTTGCACATTAATGAATCAATCTTAAGGTAGTCCTGTATAAATCTTTTTTTGAAGTAAAACTATTGTGCAAACTGAACAAGTAAATCACAGCACATTGTTAGCATTCTAATTAAAGCACTACAGTTAAAAATAAATAACATAAAAAGTAAAACAATGTAACACAAATGTGAGTAAACTAGTCATTCTCACTAATCCAGAATCTATAATCAACCATAGTGACTCATCTCATGTGGTTCTGGTGTTCTGAAAATCTGACATATCTGCTTACGATGACTTTAAACTGTCATCTTTGAAACTTCAACAAAGGCAGCACTTCTTGTCAGGTATAAAAAAACAACCAGGATGTACTAGCAACAATAAATGTGTTGAAAATGTTGGTTGCACATCTTGTCTTGCATGCTTATCAGGATTTGCTGCCACCACAAAAATCATATCTTGTGAGGCTGGCAAGACTACGCCCAAAACCATATCTTAACAATTAAAAGAATGTTAATAGTTTAAACGATTACATAGATACATTAAAATAATTATATAGTGTGGATTGACCAGATTTCCAGTACACGCCTTGTATATAATACTCTAACTTAGCTTTGAAGTACTTAAGGAGGGCGTGTCATCTACACGGTTGCCGTTTCTTTTAGTTTTTACTTTGCTTGATAATAGGTTTGGCCTTTAACAGTATATATAATGACATGTTTATGTCGGAACACACCAAATACCACCCTGCATTCAGGCATATTGTTTTGTAAAACTCTAGCTCCAGTTGTGGTCCAGTGTATGGTGTTGGTTATATGTGTCTAGTTTTGTGTTAACATGTCAGAGTAAGTAATCTAGAGCAGATAAACAGCACAATTCATCATTGGTGATTTTGTTTATGGTGTGCATTTAAGACCTCCCTCACTCCCTGTCTTTCTGTTGGGTTATTCTCTAAGTTCCAGAATTTAGATTGGGTTTCACTGTAGTCACCGGGTGGCGATCTGACCATGATTCGGTTAAACAATGAGTGTTCCATCTCATTTGTTTTGGTAATCAGAGAATGTGGGTCATTTGAGTTCAGGCTCAGCCAACCTGCTCTGTTATGGAAGCCTTTCTTAAGTACTCAGCGGATTTTCCATCAGTCTCTACCAATGGAGCAAAGAGAGAATGGATCTTTCTCCCAGCAACACGCTGCTTTTTGAACTGAAGGGGGAACACGGAGTTATAAAAACAAACTTGGGGGAGCCAAAAGTACTAAAGACCTCATTTGACTTCAGCAAACGCCCTGAATTCCCTGCTGGTTCTGGGTTGAACCCTGCTTTGGATCATTTGTTTTAATCCAGAAGGAATTGGGCACAGGGTTGCATCCAGCTTTCTATTCAGAGCACAGTGTGGTCGATGGAGTCATATAGTACAGCGGTAGGATAAAAGCTTGGGCTTTCCTTCATGCGCAGAGATGCAGTCACTCTAGTCAAACTGCTTTCATAAAAACGATTAGTAATTTCTGACATGTGCAACAGGTCTTGATATGTTTCTTTGTTGCATGTTTCTGTCATGGCAACTTCGTAATAAAGTGTAAATATTTCATTTGTTTACAAGACTTTTGCAGTGTTCTTGTGCTCTACGGTTGAATGAGTAAATCTTGGGGAAAGGGGGGGAGGGCCCAACCATCACAAGTGCAAGCTTGCTGGAAAAAGAAGGCGTTTTATGATAGAGCTGGAGCAGATGTACTCTCACGATTATACAACATTGAAATATTGCAAAGGGCTCAACTTAATGCTTTGAAATCCACTGCCGCAAATGCAGTTGTTTAAACTGTAATGTTCTTAAATGGAAGGAACCTTTGACTTTGTACTTTTGAAGACATTATTGCATTAATAGAGATAACTATGTCAGCGTCAGAGTCTTTTAAAAAAAGTTTTATGTCCCTTCCCAGGAATTTGTTACTAGCTCTTTGTAAAGCACTTGTTTGCAGACTGAAAAGACCCTTTCCATCTCGCTAACTATCTCAAACCACATACGTTTGCCAAGCCAACAATTTTAGGTTCAGGATCTATTTGTAGCTTTGTTTTCTTTTTAAAGACTATGTATTGTAAGTTCTTGTCCTCAGTAATTCTGTGGTAACCTGTGGTTACAGAGTGTCCTTTACTTAGATAAGTTTGGTAAAATAACCTTCTTGTGACCTTTCGAGAGGATGGTTTCAGTTTAGTCTGTACTAGCACTGCTTCTGTTGTCTGGGTGCATTCTGAACTTTTATCTCCACTGTTATAGTCAAGTTAAGATTAGAACTTGGCCTAGGAGAGCATCAAGCGTAATATTTGACAGATGTTTTATGGCTGTGCTGAGTCTCAAGGCAAGAAAGGAGGACACACATGAAAAGTTGGAGAGGGTAGAAAGAAAGGAAAATATTCCAACCAGCATGTGGCTGAATGAGGAAGGGCTAATTAATCATCCTAATAATCACAGATGGACAGATTCAGAGAGATGCTTGGTTTGCATTCGATGAGTTGTTAACTGTAATGGTGCACAATGTGCTTGCAGATGATAATTTATAACATTTTCATTACTTTATTAGACTGCAGTTGACTTGTGATGAGAAAAGGAACTTGTGGTAGGCATATATGCAGATTAAATGGGTGTGGGGCCATCCGGGAGCAAAAAAAAAAACAGATTTTCACGAAACTTGCAGGTTTCGGTTCAGGAAGAGGAAGTGACATGGCTTGAGAAGAAAGCCAAGGCCATGACTGTGACGTATTCTGGCGGTTCAGTATGCAAAAAAAGACATGGTGTCCTTTCGGTGCATGTGACTTTTCTCGTAAATGTAGTTCCTCTGAAAGTATTCTGCATGCGACTGTGACACCTGACTTTCAAAGTGAAACCGCTGGATTAGTACTTTACCTCTACAGTATTCGGTTTCTACACATTTAAAGATTTAACGCAATGCAAAAAAAACATCATTTTCCTTTCTAAAGAAATATTTTGGGTTCAATAATGCTGATTACTTCAAAATATAATTTCAACTAGTAAAAAAAAGGTACTTACAATTTTTTGAGAATTTAAAAGCAGAGAAGCACATCTGTTCAAACGTGTTATTTGATTTGTAAATCTGTTTAAATAATAATTTTCAACAAACTGTATGCAACTTTACATAAAAGATTAGTAAGCATTTTTTTTTTGCAGGTTTCCATCTGTTTTGTTTG